TACATTATACATTTTACTAATCATTCTACATTTCTGAATAATTATAGTTATTATTACTATTTTTTTTTTATATATTATTAAAATGTACTGATTGTATTGTCAGTCATATTATACTCAAATAATATTTTATAAGCTACAAGATAACACAAAAGAGCGCAATAATGGTTTTGATTTTTGGCGTTCAACTTTGAAAGTGAGTAGATAATAATTAATAGTATATTAATTTTAATTATTAGGTATATTTTCATAGTTATTTTATATTTAATATTAACAAATTAATATAATGTAGGAGAATGTTGATGCATTTAAAAAATATTGAACAGATTTTATTTATTTTATTTGCAATACTTACATGTTAATTGTTAATAATAATAATATAATACTGTAAAATTGCATTACAGATAATAYTTAAATTTTAAATCATTGCTGATCTAATCATTATTGTTATTATAAATAGTATACTGTTATAACCATAAAAAATACATTAGGTAGGCGGCAACTAATTAATGTCAGTGTGATTTTTTAGAGTTAAAAGTAGTTAGGTTGCTGAAATACCTTTAAAATACATTAATTTACTTTAATATTATATATTTATYATTTATATAACATAATATATTTTAGGTATTAATAATAATAATTCAGTTTACCTATTTCATTAAATTATCAAATATAAATGTAATGATAAGTGTGATTTACTGTATGATTAACAATTATTTAGGTGTATGTATTTTATTAATTAATTTTTTGTTTAATACTTCATTCAACTATAATTCCTACTATAATTAACTGTAAATATTTAATTATTAAAAATTTATCCCTAAAATGTCTTTAGTTTTTAAGAAAATAGCAAATTACTACAAAAGTACAAATCAATGATAGGAAAATACTAAATAGAAAAATATTATGTTATATAAATAATAAATATATAATATTAAAGTAAATTAATGTATTTTAAAGGTATTAATAATAATAATTCAGTTTACCTATTTCATTAAATTATCAAATATAAATGTAATGATAAGTGTGATTTACTGTATGATTAACAATTATTTAGGTGTATGTATTTTATTAATTAATTTTTTGTTTAATACTTCATTCAACTATAATTCCTACTATAATTAACTGTAAATATTTAATTATTAAAAATTTATCCCTAAAATGTCTTTAGTTTTTAAGAAAATAGCAAATTACTACAAAAGTACAAATCAATGATAGGAAAATACTAAATAGAAAAATATTAGTTAACAATTAAAACTCACTGGAGGTACCTATAATACCTGTATTACTTTTAATTTTAGATTTTAATATAATGATATTATCATTATTTTTTTGAAGTTTAGTCTATAACAAGCTATAAAAGTTAATACAATGTTAAAAACTTAAAAATAATAATTATATAATAACAATAACCAATTATTTTATCATTGAAATTTAGAATAGTACCACAGAACTTAAAGTACTCTATACTCCTGTTTTAGGATGACTAATATACCTAATGTATTTGATCGCCTAATAAAAACCAGGGCCAGCACCAGTAATACTGATGGGGAAAGGGAAGATATTGATAATCCTGATGATAGAAGTCTTTTAGTGGAAAATGCACCTATAATAAGTCATGGCCAAGAAGAAACACCACATTATGTTCAACAAAATGTACTTAATAATTTTTTTATAAAAGTTAGTCCAGATAAATCCAAGTATATTACTTGTAATAAAATCTTTCAAACTCCTAAGTCTATTACTACAACATAAAAAAGGCCCCTTAAAACACATCCAAAACAATTTTTAATGTACCAAAAATATATGGAAGAAAAATTGTTGAAGAAAAAAGAAACTGAAGTGATAAAAATAAAATTGAAGAGACACAACTTAATATTGAAAATGCCTCGGAAAATGCATTTAAGAAAAGATCATTTTTTCCACCAAATAGTTCTGCTTCTAAAATTACAAAAAAAATTGCAGAAATGATAGCTATAGACAATCARCCATATTCAATAGTAGAAGATCGTGGATTTAGAAATTTATGGGAACTATTGAATACAGATACCAACATCCAACAAGAAAATATTTGTCTACAAAAGAGATCCCTCAGCTTTATTTAAATAAAGTATCCAAACTTAAAACAGAAATTGATACGGATTTAATTAACGTTCAATCAATTTTGTTTACCTTTGAAATTAGGACAAGTTTATCTCAGCAGCCTCATATGTCACTCATGCATTATCTAACAAAACATTTTGAGCTGAAAAACAAAACTTTGGGCTGTATATACTACCCAAGAGAACACACTGGGCAAACAATATTTCTAAAAATTAAAAATATGGTTTCAAAATGAAGCATAGATACTGAAAACTCCAAAACTCCAATCTACATAGTGACTGATAATGCTAGAATTATTAACAGTGGATTTACATACTTCAATGAAAACCAACATTTGCATTATATTCTGTGTACAGCACACACACATTACAGTTAGCAATTAATGATGCAATAAAAGAAAATAATATGGGAGATGTTTTGAAGAAATGTCTCACATTATAACCACAGTACCAAATCATATAAACTTATTCAATCTATTGATATCAGATGGAACAGTATATATTTAATGTTTGACCGTATACTAGAACAAATAAGTGCAATAATATTAGATTTACAAAATAAAAAAAAAATGGTTTTGTACCAAGAGATTGGAAACTAATTGAAGGTTATGTAGAAGTGCTAAAGCCCATTTTTGAAGCCACCAAGGAACTTTGTCAAGAAAACATTCCTACTTTATCTATGATGGTTAATCTAATATTATATACTATACTCTATTCAAAATAAGAAACATAGACGGCGGTTTCGTCGAAAGCACGATACTAGACAAACGTTGCCGGCTAGAGCATCGCATTAGTCTATTGTCAACCAGCATTGTGAACAAATAACTTAAAATACATTGTTGTACACTATTTTGATCACGCCTGTCATTATGAGTGAACCGGTGGTTGTTCATCGGCACGGCGTGTCGGTTCAGCAAACGAACAGATGGTCGATTAAGTGGAGRTATCAATAGGCGTGGTCTGACAACTGGCAACAAAAACTGGTCGCCGCCGATTATGTTTCTTATTTTGAATAAAGTATATAGAAACCAAATTGAAAAAATAATGATTTAATCAGTAGAATATCATTTGCAAGAAGTGTGCACTAATCAATAAATACAAAATTTCAAGTATGTAAAACTAATAATGTATACACCTTGTATACATTTTAGCTACAATTATAGATCCAAGATTTAAAATTGTTAAGTTGGAACCACATGAAGTAGATGCAGCAAAAGAGATAGGTACTTAAAATAGAAGTTGAAACTCTTAGAACACCACCAACCAATAGATACATTACAAATGAAACAACAGAACCCACATTGAGCCACTAAAAAACATATAGAGGGCCAGTTTGATTATGTTTTGAGAAAAGTGAAGTTAATTATTAATTTTTGTGATAATTAAAATGAGACTAATTTTAATTTTGAAATATTTTTTGACTTTTGTAGATACAGGAGTATTTAAAACTACCATTGATTTCTCCAACATAAAATCCATTAACTTGGTGGAGCTCTAACCCAACTGCATTCCCAAATTTATAACCAGTTGCCATGAAATATCTAGGTATTCCAGCAACGTCCTTTTGCTCTGAGTGCRTGTTCTCTAAAGCCAGACAAATAGTAACTAAAAGGAGGCAAAGACTTAGTCCTAGTTCTGTAGAACAATTAGTTATTTCTACATACAGTACATACTAATGATAATTTTTAATTAATGATAATATTTTATATAACTATATTTTAAAAATAAATGATTAATAATAAATATATTGTATTATATGTATTTCTATTTTAAATTTTATTTTTTTCTTATTAATAATCAATTATTAAATTATTATTATTTATTGTGTAATAGGTAGTAGCACCTACTTATGTAAAAAAAAATAGTAATAACAATAATAAGAAATTATCTAAAATTTAAATAATACAATTACTTAGACTTAAAAGATAAAATGTAGAATAGGTAATACAAAAACTTAATAGAGCTTATTTTATTATCATAAAAATAATTTAACTAACAAATTAATAATAACTCGATTGTTATAAAATAGTGAAATTGATATAAAATAATATAGAATGTAATCCAATTACAATTGTGCGCAATTGATGTTGAGCGCATGCATATTAACGTAAAATCGCAAACTTTGGAAGGCTATAACTTCCAAAATAATGGTTTCCACACAAAAATTCAAACAGTTTCAAAATCAGAGTTGAAAAACATGTCTTAAAAAAAAAAATTTGAAATTTGTGAGGGGCGTRGTAAAGTGCATTTGTTCCAAAAATTGTAATTACATTTATGAAAAAAAAAAAAATTTAAACCGAAATTGTCTATAAATAATTAAGAAATATTTTGAAGATTTTAACAAGTATAGAAAATTCCTATATAATTATTCAGGAAAAATGTCATGTATCTGTGGTTATTTGTTTTATATACCTAGAGTTACACCAATACCTATCTCAAATCGATTTTCTCAAAAACCTTCCCGTTTTAAGTACCCTTATTTTTTTATCGGTTTTCTCTGCGCTCTTGAAAATTATTGGGAATTTCAAACTTTGACCTTTCCAATGCACCAACTAGATTCATTTCCCAATGAGAAAAACAACTGGAGTTGAAAATCAAAGCATGATTTCAACAACTTATACACACACAAAAAAAAAAAATTAATTAATTAAAAGCCATACATCATTGTATCATCAATACACTTCTGGCTAAACCAGGAGATATTGCATCCCTAATATTCTTGTCAATGGTAATATCATCAAACCTTGAGATACTTATTTAAACAGTTGCAACTCATTTGTACTTGAAAAATATTTTACAAATAAGCGACAGTGGTGCTCTTCAAATATTTGTAAAGTTACTTAAGTAACTTATAATAACTAAAAAAAATCTAACTATATAATACTTATATATTATTATTACCTTAGTAGTTGTTAACACTGGTACTAAAATTCTTTTATTATTGGTTTGAATATTGTCATTAGAAATGAACGTAGGAATTTGTCTCTCAAATCGTTCAGTTTGGAGCCTAGGCATATTTTCATAACTCATATCCTCATTAGTTGTGGTTAGCTTAATTTTTCTACATGACCGTCTTGGTGATTCAAAACTATTTACAACAGTATTACGTTCATCCCTGTAAAAATTTGATTTTATGTAATCGCTCTTATCATAATAAGCACATTTTTTAAATCTATAAATAATTGTACAAACCAAATTTTGTATCGTACAAATATCACTAACTCACCTTAAAAGATTTTGTTCCCTTGCTAATAATTCATTATTACCAGTTTCGATATCAGTACTTTGAGTAGCATAACTATAAAAATTAGAATATCATTGAAAATGAAAATAAATAAATCGAGAAATAAATATACTGTCAAGAGTATTACTTAGAAGGAAAACCAGTTCCATTAAAATTTCGAAATGGTTGGGGAATAGTATTTTTTTTTAAAAATCGCTTTCCTTCTGGCCTATAGTTTTCTTTTAAGAAATGGTCACTACATATGCGATTCCAGTCACTACAACTATCAAATCCATATACTTTGAGCCATTTCCTTCTTCTATATTCATTCTTAGGAAATCTATAACAAATCAAATATCAATAAATAAAATAATTGTTAGTGTTTAGGGAAAAAATAAACATCAAATGGAAATTAGTAATGCTAAACCAGTTTTAAATTATCCCACATTATTCTACATCGGTATAATGTTCCATGTAAATAATATAGTACAAAAAATCAAGAACAATTTTTTTCACACGAGTTTGAATGAATTAATTCATAGAAATAATAGATACTCACGCATGATACAATACTTCAGGACGAGTAATCCTGGTCTTTCCAGAAGAATTACCGCACACTAAACACTTATGCATTTTTAAAACGTAGCGCTACAAATTATCAAATATAAATCTATCCATCCATAGAATAGTTAGATGATGGTAGTGTATATTGTGCTGTCCTTTTTAATGGTATGCTGTAAGTGTACATGTGTTCACTGCATTCGAATCGAGCACTTTACAAATTACACGAAAAAAACCAAGAAATATAAAACTTTTTTTATTAATAAGTTGAAATTATATTTTTAATATTAAAAATAAAAGTTTGAATGTCTCAAAACACCTAAAAATTATTTAGTCAAACAAGTTCTAAAAAGACATTAGGCAGCCATTAGGAGACGAACATCCAAGCACAAAACCAACAACAACACTAGTACAGTACATAGTATATATACTATAAACTACAATATAAGTATACACTTCTACAGCAGAACTGACAACAGTCGACACTCCGCCATGAAGACATGAAACAAAGAAAAGAAAACCGGCTGGGCGGCTTCAGTTTTCGAGCTGTGTAGTTTACTAGTTATACTCTAGCGTGTAGTGTTAGAGGCTTGAACCACGCTTGGTTGCTTGGTATTTGGCTGCCGCAGTGCCGCACTGCCGCCTGCCATTTTCTAGCTGCCAGTGCTGCCATGACGAAATAGTTCATTAGTCACGTGAGGTATTATTGAAAACTGTTTACTTTATTACCAAGGTTCAAGATTATAACTCAATGGTTCATATCTGACCGTAGTCCAGTGTGACCGTTTTGGATTTGTGTTCCGCGTCTGTACTCCGTTTAATAATACTATATACACACGACACGGCACACACTGCAGCGGWAGCGGAAGCACCGGCGCACCGCGGCGGCACCGCCAAGACAAAAGAATTTTACCGCCACCGCTGCAGTGTGTGGCTACCTTAGTACCTTTACTAATAGTTATTACCAATTGGTTATTACTTATTAGTGAGTAATTGTATTGTAGTTTCTACTGACAATGGGCATTGGGCAACGCGATTTAGATATTTTATTATTTCTATTAGATTTAGACTGAACCACTGAACKAAGACTATAATAGGCACAATTTTAAACATTATTAATTGTAATACAATAATACAATATTATTGTAACATATTATTATGTCCACGAACTAAAATTTTAGTATATACTATATAGTTATTAGTTACTTGGTGATTATGTCTGGGTACGAACTACGACTACGAGTACGAGTGAACCACTGCAGAACCAGTGAACCATAACTCATAAGTACTGAACGTCTGAACTGGTAATTCAATTCTTTTGAGTGAACAGTGAACAGTCAACTGTCAACTGACATCTTTAGTCTTTACTGATAGGAGGCAGGAGTTGAATCATCTAAATAATACTAAATTGAAACTCCTACCACTGGAATAATAGTTTGGGATAGGAATTTTATTCGCCGATCGGCCGATCATTAATTAGCATCGGAATCAATAACAAATGTTATGATTTATGAATATCTCTATTGATGTTAAAAGTTAAAATACCTATTATGATATTATTTTGTTTGATGGAATTAGTATTGTATTTGAATTTCTGAGATGCGACGCTCCAGTCTTTCCACTAGTCACTACCCTAACGTCTCTAACTCTAACTCTAGTACCTACTCTACTACAATTTTTTAGTAAAAAAATCTACACAATGTTATCATGTTATGATGATGGATCTGGTTATTAATTATTGCCTATCATCGTATATTTTGTCCGTGGATGGTGCAGGAGCAGGAGTAAAGTAAAGTTGTACCTGTAGCCTGTTGTACTTGTTGTAGTGGCTAGTGACATAGATATTGACAATGTAAAATTTTAATAGTGTAGTACTATAGTCCACCAGTGGCGTAATTTGGCCATGTTTGTGGGGGGGGGGATGAAATATTTTAACATTTTACCTATACAGCTATACCCCCCTCCCATAAAAAAAATAAAAAGTATTTATTATAAGCACCTTTCAGAATTCATAGTAATATAATATGTACACATGAGGCATGGAATAAATTCCGATTAAGTGTACAAATCGATAAGTTATTTTTAGTTCAATAGCACTACGGAAAAATATTAGGATAGGATAAGATAGGACAGATATGACAATAGTCATTACTCATTAGTCTTTCGATCGTCGTCGATCCACGATAAAATAATACTTTACTGCTCGGTGGCTTATTTTTGTACCACTACACAATGCATAAACAAACTCAAAACTTACACAAAACATATTATTCATATTGCAATAGTGATACTTATAAACTTGCGTGGCTGCATTTAAAACGAACTATTATAGGTACGAAGTATTTATGTACAACTAGCATAAAGGATTTGTTTTTTTTGTATTATTTCTATAAAGTATAAAATATAGGCTATTTATAATAATATTAATTCGCCGAGGTATTTGATTTCAATATATACATTACATTTATATATAAAAAAAATAATAATATTATTAGATAAAGAAGTACATGGGTATGTAGTTGATCAATCTTAAAAAAAAGGTCATGGGGGGGATACGACACCCAAATCCCCCCCCCGTAATTACGCCACTGTAGTCCACAACAATAAAGAATTGGTAATATAACCTCTATGGCTTATGTATATATATTTATAAATGTTAATACTTATGTGTTATGTTTATTTATAATGTTAATAATGTTAATAATAATATTGTAATATTGTAATGCAATGTAGACCAATGGCCAGAGCCGCCGCGGTCTTTTGAGATTAATAAAAAAAAAAAAAAAAAATAAAGAATTGTCCTTTTTAAAACAATGGCATACGCCGCATACCCATTACCCAGTACCCACTAGTCAATGGAATCTCGATTCGTGATGCCTTGACGTCAGCTGTAATTGATAATATTAATAATAATATAGGTAGTAATTTGAGAGTGACGATTGGCAATTGTCGTTTTATCATTTTACCAATATTTGGACGGTAAAGGCGTAGTTTAGATAAACAAATTACAGATTAGAAAATATTCTCATTATTTCGTGTGCGTCGTGCTTGTGATTGTGACGCTTGTGTGCTACGCGATAATAACGATTAARGTGTTAATTGATGTGTTTGACAAGATGACACATTCAACTAGGTCGTAATTAAACGCGTATTGCATTATCGCGTTTATATTAACTACGCGTTCACCTAAACATGATGATTAACGAATAATCAAAAATAGTGTTCACTGGACAATATGGTGAGTATACGTGAAAAGCGTACTTAATAAATACAAATCATAAATCATCATACTACGTGTGTAATGTAATATTATAAGACTTGCATCTCGTCACGACCATTGAATATGCCATAATATTGATAAACTAACAAAGAACAAAACCCAATTTTAGGTTTTAACATTATTTCCGTGTCTTACCCCTCAGAAATAATATTCAATCATCGCGTTCGATCTTCGATCCAATTCGGACGAGTGTCGTAAATAATGTTGCATGAACCACTAACGTCGTTGTCGTCGTAATCTCCTGCGCGGCTATCTCGCAATTGCTGGACCGCAGCAGCTGCGATCGCATTTTCGTGTTTGTAGAGGACTAGAGGAGATGACGTGTTATGTGTGTGATCTTCTACTAATTATGAGAAATAATTTACATAGTATGACATTCTGAACTCAGATATCGAAATTCTGTTAACCTTTGACCTATGATTTTGTTTTTCGTAACGTGCATATTGTTATAAATACTGAGCTATCTGTTTCCTCCCTATTTTATATTAAATCTGCTCTATTGGATCGTACCTTATGAAATAATTAATAAATCACAATCAATACTTCGTGTCACCTTTATTTTTTTTCACTTACCTATGGCAATTTAAACCGAAGACAAGGTTATCGTTTACTAGTGTTTTTGTAAACAAGAAAATTGTTGTGGTATGTTGACTTCTATTCGTTAGAAATAAAAATTATTTGAAGATAATTTTATATTGTTTTAAGCGTGTGTCAGTTATCACACATAATGCTTGTAAAATTTTAGGTACATATCCTAAATATGTATAACCTATTTCTGAGGTTCTATTTTTATAACTTTTTGTATAATTCTATAATGTTTCAATATTGTTGTTTAGATGCATTTCATGTTACTATTCAGTCGTCAAGGCAAGCTTCGTCTTCAAAAATGGTATGTTGCTCATCCTGACAAGGTGAAAAAGAAAATTACCAGAGAACTTATAACCACAATTTTAGCCAGAAAGCCTAAAATGTGTAGTTTTCTTGAATGGAAAGAATTAAAAATTGTTTATAAAAGGTAGGTTATTGGAAAAAATAAATATATATATATTTTAATTGAAACTTATTTTCAGGTATGCAAGTCTTTATTTTTGTTGTGCTATTGAACAGAATGATAATGAACTTCTTACTTTGGAAATCATTCACCGCTATGTTGAATTACTAGACAAATATTTTGGTAGTGTAAGTTTCATAGTTCTATTTTTTTTTTTTTTCCTAATGTCAATTCTTTGTTGTAGGTCTGCGAGCTGGATATAATATTCAACTTTGAAAAGGCATATTTTATACTGGATGAGTTATTATTAGGTGGGGAAATACAGGAGACTAGTAAGAAAAATGTACTCAAGGCTATCTCAGCTCAGGATCTCTTGCAAGAGGTTAGTTATGGAAATACTCCATTAGAACTTTAACTAATTTCATTTACTACAATTATTTAAGTCAATTTTGTCTTTAGACAAAAAGTAATACATATTTAATTTAACATTGGTTTAAACTAGGACTCTTATATTTTAAACTATGATACATCTTGCCAATTCAATAGAAAACTGTTTTGCTCATATTATTTAAAAACTATTATTATTATTCCACCATAATTTATAGTTTAACTGTAAATAAACTAAATTCATATTATTATCTTTAATTTATATGATTTAAATTTTCATTTAGAACACCCATGTATTTAAAATTTCTATACATACTTATAGTGAAATATAAATATATTTATAAAATTCAGTCTAGTCATCTAAAATAATAGTCAATTTTGAATATTATGCTTTAATGCTTAAACTACATACAATTTACCAAAATATGTTGGCCAAATTTATTATTAAGATAATTAAATCTATTTTTTGTATTAACCTGTAGAGTACAACATAAAAAACATTATTTTAAGCACACATATAATATTGTAAAATATATTTGTTTATCTAAAGAACTTGCTTTCCATAATGCCTTTATTATGCTAATAATTAATACTTTTAATTTATTATAATATTCTGTAGAAACCTATACTTACCATTATTATAAAACTAATTAAAACTATATTATTTTTATTGTTATAATCCAATGCTTTTATTTTAGTTATAATTTTAGCTAACTATTTTAACAAACTAAAATGTTTGCTTATTTATGTATTCAATAGTTTATCTCCTATAGTTAGCAATTTAACTCTTTTTAATTTATAATATCTGTGTATAAAATAATTCTTTTATAGTTTATTTTTAAAATTAATTAAAATTGTATTAATGCAATTTCTTCTGCTTTTACAATATTAAAGAAATGTTTATTAACATAATTCCACTATTTTCATGGATATAAATATCATAAAAAATGTTATATACAGTGTCCCGCGAGGATTTACACATTGCGATATCTCACGAAATAATGGAGATATTAAAACTCTAGTTTTATAATAAGATTCACAGAGATAAGAACTACAATTATTTCATTTTTTAATTTATTTTAATGTTTTTGTAAAAAATTTAAAAAATATRTTTTTTTATTTAATTATTTCCAAAAAAAATAAAGATAGCCATTTTGTGGAGTTTATTTTTCTAAAAATATTGACGTTTCCAAATTTTATTTTCATTAATTTCATGATTTTTAATATTTTTTCTAGTTTTGAAGAAATAAAATATGATTATAAATTTATAACTATTAGGAAYACAGAAAGTATTCGGCTGGCCGTATGGGAATGCACACGACGCGGTGGGTCACATGTTTGATAACATTACGGTGTTAAATAATTCGCAATTTTTCTTGAAACTTAAAAAAAATATTAAAAATCGGGAAATGAATGAAAATACAATTTTGAAACATCAATATTTTCAGAAAAATAAACTACAAAATGGCTATCTTTAGTTTTTTTGGAAATAATTAAATAAAAAAATACATTTTTAACTTTTTTACCAAAATTTTAAAATAAATTAAAATATAAAATAATTGTAGTTCTTATCCCTGTGAGTCTTATCAAAAAACCAGAATTTTGATATCACYATTATTTCGAGAGATATCGCAATATGTAAATCCTCACGGGACACCTGTATATACATTTTGCTTTAACAATAAAAAACTTTAAACAGTTAAATTAATCGGACAGTTAAAATTATACAGTCAATTTTAAATAAAACATATTATTATATGAAATTTAAACCTTTATGCATCATAGTATAATTTATAAATAAATAAAAAAAAAAWTAATTAATTTAAAGTAACAAATATTGAATAGTTTTTCAAAGAATTAACCTTTTTTCAATCAACTTTTAAGAATTTAAAATGTCATCTATTCAGCTGTTTTTTATTTTATTTTTATTTTTATTTTCAAATATTAAGAGAAAACCACACCCATATTTGTTTCCATCTTACAAGTGCCTAACATAACAAATTTTAGAGATTTAGCAGATTTTGAGCGTGACATTTGTTATGTTACGCACTTGTAAGACGAAATAACTCATGTGGGTGTATATATACATGCATGTACACATTGTACACTAAATGTTTTCAATTCAGTAAGTTTATCTATCATATCTATCATGTAACTTCAAAACAATATCATTGTCCATGCAATTTTGACTGTGTTTTCCAATGTATTAATTTTAAAAAGTGTTTTTAGTAGTTAAAATATAACAATTTCTAAAAACTTGAACATTTTTTTATATTTAAATATTAAAGAATACAAACAAGAAAATATGTAAAATGTTTTGAAATTAATTGTTTGATAATAGATTAAAATACTCTTATAATGAAACATCTAAACTGTATTTAAATTGTGATTTTTGTATTATTTAGGAATGTTTTGCGTTTTTCAAACAGAAAAAATGAATATGTGTAGTTTCTTTCTAAATTATGAATTTATTTATACAATTAAGTGTAAGCATATTAATTTAAAAAAATTTTATATTTTTAATTTACATTACACATAATATTTCAAAATATTTTTCATGCTACTCTTATTAAAATTACTGTTTCTATAATTGATCATCACAAATTTAATGTCACAGAGTTAAATTGCTAAGTATAACCAAATAAAATATAATTAATTTAAATGTTGCATGTCACTCTTGTCTAATATTCTTTGTAACAACTATCTAGTCCAATAATGTTTAAATATTTATCTTTAATATTATCATACTAACATGTTGTACCATTGTTCATAACAATATTCATACTATTTATTAGAAGGAAATGCAATTTTAATATAAAATTATTCATACATTCATCGTTTAAATTCAAAATTGTTATAATAGTAATTAAGCAAACCAATATAAGTTAATATTTATATTATTAATCAGCAACACATTTTATGTCAATAAAAACCAATCTTTGTTTGTGATATTGTTTATTATTACTATTATTTTATTATTATTATTATTATTATTATTATTATTACTACAGTGACTAAAAATGTTTTACCTAAAAAAACTACAATAAACCTTTTTTATTTCATTAAAAACCATACTATTACTAGTTTACTAGTATTATTATTATACGATTAACAGCTCATTTTATTTTTGGTTATTATACATTATTCAAACAAACATTTTATAATTATATAATGTTTAAATTAAATCATTTTTATCACTCATATTATATTTTTAAAAAGTATTGATTTTTAAAATGTTTTTCTTTTATGTTTATATATTTACAATTTAACCTCAAAAATAATTTAATCAAAATATATATATATATATATATATATATTATTATATAAGTACTACGAGGTTCATGTATTTAGTATTTTAAGTATATTTTTTTAGCCAACATTGTTTGAATTCCTTGGGTTTATTAGTAGTATAATGGGTCTTGTTTTGTTTTATTTTTTATGATTGATTTATATTAATAAACACATATAGTACAATTTTATTATTTTATTTTCGTAGCATAAATTTTGAAAAAAATTTAATGGCTATCCATATTACCTAACTTGATTTCTGTCATAAATAATATATTACCTGCATGATTATCAGTTATTAGATGCTTTTCATTATTTGGGATATTACCTAATATTAATGTGTTTGTATGTAGGAGGAGGCAGTCGAAGGCGCTCTGAAAGAGATTGGCCTGCTATGAAAGCATCCAATATACTTTTTATTTCATATAATTGTATTTACTTGCAATTATAATTGTGATTTTTTTTTTTACATATATTTTAATATAAATTCAAACAATGTGTCTTTCATAAAATGTTAGTCTTGGATATTTGATGTAAAGAGATGTCGCTAAATGCAATTTTATTAATAAATAACTTATCAAAATATCAGGTTTCTATCAATGACGCCCTGATATAATATTAAAAAATAAAATCCCATTTTTTTATTATCTGTAAACATAAGTGTATTCTGTAAGTTTATTTAATTTTCATTATTTTTTTTTTTATATTGTTGCGTTTTCTCAAAAAATTAATTTCTATTAATGTATTAACTAACATGATGTTGAAAAAATAAAAATAAAATTTTCATGCTTATGCTGTATGCGCTTTTTACTGACTTGGTTTTAAGTGATATTAGTTATTTTTTTTACCAACAAGTGTATTTGATCATAACACGTATGTTATGTTTGTTTTAAGGTTTGAGGGTTAATTGGTTATTATTTAACAGTTCTGTTCTTATTTAAATATAGTTATTTAAATTTATGTTAATACAATAAATGTGGCGTTACAAGAAATGTCAGCAAACATTTTGGTGCTACGGTATGTTTATAAGAGCACGCAGTGTTTATAATATATTAAAACTATTGCCCTATCCATTATATCTTCAATTATTTACTAATTGTTTTGTTTAGAAAATCCTTTTCTACGTATTTTTATTTTTGCACCCTGTTTTATCTAACTTAAAACATATTATGCGTTACTTTTTATAATTATTTGTTCCTTTATTTTTCAGGAAGAAACGCCTCAAACATTTTTTGAAGACCATGGCCTCGGTTAACAAATATCAATTGGACACATTCCTTAGACATTCCAAACTAATTGATAAATAAATATATAAAAAAAAAAAACAAGTATTAGACACAATTTATTATACTTACGCCTAATTATTATTATCACTTTTTATTGTATTATGAATGTATACAACTATAATAGGTGACAGTGCTATATGTCCGTCCAATTTTATTACAATTTATTTTTTGTCCATAGGCAATAAAAAAAAAAACTTTTTTCGTTTTGTATTCCTATATTACACTAGTATTCGTCTAAAAATAACATTCGGTCCTAACATGTGCCAAGCGACAGTTCACAGTGGTCACTGTATAATATTATGTATGTGTGTACAGAAACCACACGACAAATGTGTTTGTTACGACGTTTCGGCGAAGAGTACTGTTAAAAATATGGTCCACATTATAACGGCGTCTTGCAGCTTGACGTTGATTTACGATTCTGTCCACTCGCCTGTCGGATATAGTAGTTATATAATAATACCATGAAAAAAATCCGCGAAATATTTCGTAAAATCTAATTCGTATTTCTTATAATTTAAACGTTAATTCATCTAAAATTGCACTGCAATAGGAAGGTAATAGGTATCGGAAAAATAATGAAACAGCCGGTTTAAATGTTTATGGTATAATATATAATTATTATATTATATTATTATATTATATTATTAAAACGGATATTCAACAGGACTCACGTCTATAATAATATAGGTGATACAGGGTAAGGACTAAGTTAGGTAAGAACCTACATCAGTACCTGAATATATGATGATGTTTATATTATGTTGGTACCTAGAGGTAACTTTAAAATCAATCTTTGCTACAATATTATTCTGATTTATATATCTTAAATTATCTAAGACAATAAGTCGGTACATATTATATTATATCTACATCTATAAGACGAATTATAATAACATTAATATTAATTATAATAATAATAATTTTATGAAATTATAGTAACCTTTTAATTATGCTTATATTATATAATAATGAAATTTATAATTTACAATAACTTATCACTTATGGCGGTCTAATAGTGTATACTGTGTACAATAATGTAATATATATTAGGTACTAGCACAGTACGGTGGGACTAGATATAATATCATAATAATTATTAAATGTATAATATAGCTGGTCAGAGCACGTCCCAAAAATGTAACGATGGAGCGACTTTGGTGTGTATTATATAATGTTGTATTATTTTTTAAATAATTGGATGGGTTTCGACAGTCCACGAGAGAGGCGTGCGGCTTGGAGGCGGAAATAAATCGTTCGATGTATACGTTGACCAGTCGGTATATACCCTGGTACCTACTTAACGTTTGCTTCAAGAGTGTAAAAATAGCGAACGGTAAATGGCAAACGAAAAACGTCGTCGTGTACGGATTTTGTTGCCAGATATTAAAATTAAAATCTAGTTCACGCGCACGCCATTCCTCCAGTCGACTATTTTGGGCCGAGTACGACAATGATAATATATAATTATTATGTTATACGTATTGTGGAGTACAAGTGTAGTGTACACCAAGGGCGGAGAGGAACCATCGAAACTCGTATAAAATACAACATAATATGTTACTGCAGTTGGGTTGTTGGGGGGTGAAGGATTTTTTCGGTTTTGTTTTTCGTCCACTACGTTATAGGCTTATAGCAACCGAGTAATATAAATTTAAAGGTTGGGGGGGGGCGTATGTTAAAAGGATGAGGGTGGTCAGATAACCGTAATAATAATAATAATATAATATGGTATCACTACACCGCTACGTGAACGCGCTATATACACGATAGGTATAGTAGTAATAATAATACAAAACCGCAAACTACGATATAATACGCGTATAATATATGCATGCAGGACAGATCGGCGCTTTGGTCGACAGTTATTATTAAAACGGACCTTAACAGACGGGTAAAATGTATGTATATTTTGTATATATTTAAAAACACACATTCACACAAGATAATCGTTCTTTAAACGAGGGGAAGTAATAAAGTTTATTTACATTTACGTATCTATACAATATAATGGTGGTGGATCAAAAAGAAACTATGACGATAATAATAATAATAATAATAATAATATATAACACCTATGTACTATAATACTTATATTTATATGTTTATACTTAAAAAACCTAAAACGGGCTTAATGAATAGTAACACAAACCATATAACATATGTATAACTATGCATTATATTATTTAAATACCTATACCTGCGTGTAATAATACCTAACGATGATAATGCGGTATAAGTTTAATAATGGAAATAATACGAATTAATAATAATACGTCATACAAGCAAATAAGCATAGGTACTAGGGTAGGTACGTTTTTTTTTTTTATTTAATGACTTCCAATTTATAAATTATGCAAACGATACGCAACGCACTCACATAATTTCCGCAATAGCTGGAACTTGTAATATTTACCTGCCCATTTGGTACCTAATAGTTGTTAGGTAAGTAATATGTATCATTTCAATTTGTGAAAATTAACTGAGGAACATCATTCAATAATCAATATTAATTGTATTTGGATTAGAATTATCTAATTTGCCTTTAAAATTTAATAAAATACCTATAGGTAATGGGTAGGTACGTAGGAAAGTTATATATTATGTATGCGTTAGGTACCTATATATCATTAATATTTGGCAAATGAGATTTCTTACACCTGCTGTTGAAAAAAAAACCATTTAAATAAACGCACTAATAACTTGACTCCCAAGCTTGTAGTTTTTAATTTTACAGGGTTATTCAAAATCATTTGACTCTTTGCACCTGGCTCCCTAGGTCACCTGTGATCTTACTCTTCGTGACATTACTTCTTTTGAGGATATATTAAACAATTTTTAAGTGGTTAAACTAATAATTTATTGTATCATGTAGGTAACAAATCGATACGATAGGATTACTTGAAAGTTGGCCAGTAAAAATGTTTGCAATTGTATTATTCAAAAAGGTATACTGCTGTAACTGTATCAGTGTATCATCATTATCCAAATTATCAACACAGATGAGTTACCAAATTTTAGAAGTTATTCCAATGAATACGCGTAGAATGAATTTAAGGGGCGTAACACAATAGCACACTTTAACTTTTTACCTACAAAAAACAACTCGATTTTTGAGTATTCAAGCATTTCAGGCAACTGAATTAACCGATATTATAAAATTAGATGAACTTCATATTTTAATTTGTTTTTTATTTAATCAATATTTCCAACGATTTATTATGTTATTGTTTTGATTAAAATTTATTTCTTTATTATTTAAGACGAATAATATTAGTTTTTAATATAGATATTTTAAAATTTTTACATAATTTAATTGGTACTAAGTTTTAATAGTAAGTAAAAGTATATAATTAGTGACATTATTAAACAGTTAATTTATTTAAATCCAAATAATCAAACAGTATAAAAATTTTTAATGCTCATTTGTTTTGTGTTTTTTCATGATACATAAAAAGGTTAAAAATGTGCAATCGTATTACACCAGGATTTAAGTACCGACTATAGGTATTATGTAGTTTGTGTGACTAAGGGAAGCCACATACGACATTAATTATAAAGGTGGGTATTATAGAATTAAATATATTTTTAAACATTGTTATTTTATTCAATGTACATAGGTACCTACTATTATTACACTAAACCAGCGGTTCCCAACCTTTTTAGCAGGGCGGTGCCCTATTGTTTGTACACATTTTGTTAGGTGCGCTTCTGTAAATATCACGAGGAATGTGATAAAAATAAACACTAGTTTTCATTCATAACTGATTTAAATAATTTTTATTGAACATATTATTAACAAATTATAATTTTATAGTTAAAAGTAAAAAGAAAAAATTCTGTTTTAATAGTGAAAAACTAATAATTAATGAAATGTTTGAGGCTGTTTATTTTTAGAAAGCTTGACAATATTTTTATCTATTATTGAATTATTCGACACGTCATATTAGAAACACTATATTTAATATTGGATATACCGATAGTATTCTAAGTAATTTTGTAGGTACGTAAGATAATTTTTGTCTTTTCAACTACAATACATTTTTATTTTTTATATATAATTTAATAATTTTTTTCATTCTCGGATGAGCCATGCATGGCGCCCCCTAAATGAGCTCGCGGTGCCCTTAGGGCACCGCGGTTCACAGGTTGGGAACCGCTGCACTAAATCTATAAGCTAAAACTATACAAACATTTTATATCTGATGAATCATTTTGATAACCCTGTATAATAGGTATACAGAACATTATCTGCGTTGATTCGGACTCTTATTTTTATGCCGTTCCTTTGACKATTAAACGCCTGCGGGAGTAACGCTTCATCTTGTTTAAATATCTCTTTTAAACTTGTATATAAGCGTCATGATATAAATTATAATTTTTCTTGGCACTTCGCTGGAGGGCTCCGCAATGTGCATCGACGGGAGTTAAATTCATTGGTTCCTAGATCTCGGGGATTATTACACTCTGTCAATCTTTATAATATGTAATATGTTTATTTTACGTGCTAATAAAACTCAATATAATATATATAGTTATGTAGTATTAATTGGCTAAACAACCTAAGTACCTAAGCATGAGAAAACAAGAAAGAAAATGTAATAGTAACGAGCAAGAACGAACCTTAAACTTACGTTATAATAATATATTATGGAATTCATGTATACTATATATTTATATATTATATACATGTGTGTGCACGCGTGGGCCTGCGTCAGCTCAAAACTTAGGAGATGGTAATTTGCGTCACTATAATATTATGTATATTATAAACCTACTAGCTAATAATAATTACTGCTTTTGGCGCCGACAGTAATCGTGTTCAGCTCCACTTTCGGGCGGATAAAAGGATATTATATAATAATATAGATACAAGCGCCCGTGACTATTCTACCGAAATTGTATATTATAATCTGCTGTTGCTCTGACCTGAAATGATTTTAATGATTCTAAAATTCTCCTCTTCGGATGAGAAATATGAATGTTATGAAAAAGAAAATGTGTTTTTTTTTATATTTTCATTACGCGCGTTGGGTCACAACAACGACACTTGATCTGCATTTCATCGATGACGGGCATAATGGGTGGATGATGTCGAAGTGGCTTCGATTTCACACAGCTAAAAATTCGTATATTTTTAATGGAGCATCTGGGGGGGGGAGGGGATATGCCCCTTGCGATTTGCGTCTATGGACTGACAGAAAAATTAGTATACGTGTGCGACGCGACATATTCGGAGGTCTGATACTTGGACGTCAGTCGTTTTCACCAAACCGAATAATAGGTTCGATTTTTGTTTCCGTCAAATCTGTTTCTACTTACCTGTATTGAATTATAGTTTGAGAACCATTTAGGGATCTTCATCCTGTATCCACTACGAGGAGGCGGTTCTCATTGATCCCCAAAACATTTTTTGACTTAATTTTGTGATTAAATTTATAAAATTTTGAATTTGAGTTGATTATATTTATATTAATGTAGGTATTTAATAAATATAGAGTCAAATATTTCTGACAATTCAATATTACTTCGAATAATTGTACCATATACCTATTATTCAACACTTATTTAGAACGATACGTTGTTATGAACATTAGAAATTATGTATTTTTTTTTTAATTTATCAATGTGTGAATAAAATGTGCATGAAATTATTTTGATCTTGATAACATAGGCACTATATCTACACGTGATATAAATTAGATCGATTTATATTTACTTATAATTATAGGTAAGCATTAGTGCATTACTACTCGTAAAATCAATTATATTTTCAATATCAAATGGTTTATCCCGAATCCCAACATACATCGATGATCGATAGCACTACAGATAGACTTTTATGGGTACTCAAACTCCATATCAATAATATTAAGTCGAAAATATAGATTTGGGGAAACGAAAATCGAACCTTTTTCAGTTTGGCGGAAACAAAAATCACATTTTTGTCGGAAACGGCTCCTGATTACCTACTTGATGATATTATGACAGTAGCGACCAGAAAAAGGCAATAATCTTAAAACTAAAATGGGCGTAGGTATGCGATGACCGTTGAAATTTTGAAAAATATTACAATGAAGGTTATTCGCTGAAATAAATGTATTTATCAAGATCATACAAATTCATATTTTGGGTTCCTCATTATAGGTGGGTGGTCCYTTAATGTTTGTTTTATTTCAAGCTTAAAAGTCATTCAGACATGCCACTGCTCAATCAGACAGGGATTGATAATATAATTATAGAATATTATATTATCGTAACTAAGAACTATTATATAGTCACACCTATGAATTATGATGGTACATCGTCATCTACCTATGATAATTTATGCTTTTCACCTTACCGCGCGGTGCTTCGATTTGTGTGAATAAGCAACACTTCCTATGTAGGTATACAATGTTATATTAAACTATGTGCCTACATGTTTTGGATATTATTTTCAAAAAAAGAAACGCAACGAAGGTCATTTGGAAAAATTAGAAATTACTTTTCATCAATGTTATCATAAATATTATGGTGACTGACGTTATACCTATCATGTACTGTATGTCTATTTTATTTATTTATCAACTTTTTTAAGGGGTTAGGTGGTAAAAAAAACAAAATCCACATCTGAAACAACAAAGTCTGCGCATGCCTATATGGTCTTACTAATAATGACATGCTTTTGATTGTACTTACATAATATATATCTAATTATAATAACCCTATAGGGTTCTCTATTTTAGTTGATATATTTTATAATTTTATCACTTAACAGAAAAAAATAAGAATAATATGTGTCTTATTTTTACCTGCCAATTTTTGACTTAACCCCCCCCCCTCTGATTACATTACTGTGGACGTAAACATATTTTCATGCACAGTATCATCGCACGTACCTACAGTACAGATCGTGTATGTATGTAATAGTAAAATTAAATAATAATAATAATGATAATAATACCTAATAATTGTAAAGTGGGACGGATGTCATTATATTATTATCATATTATTAAAGACGTAAAAGTAGGACAGTATAGTAAGTTGCATATGTAAAGAAGCCGGGTTAACTACAGCAGCTATACCTATTACAGTATCGCGTCGAGCTCGGCCCAACACGGGATTCTGCTGGTATACCGTGGTTATTTGGTAACCATAATATCATCATAATAATATTATTATGATCACCASGGCCGATTATCGGAAATATACGACACGACACTGGCCACGCGGTGAACCCGGCTTAATAATWGGACCGCGGCGCCGCTTAGAGAACGGCCGCGGCGGTCAGCTGCTGCTGCTTGTTGTTGGCCGCATGTCTGCCGTGGTTGGTGCCGGCCCGGATGAGCGGTTCGCGTTTGCCGGCAGGCCCGATGGCCGCGGCGCCGATTATGTCGGTCATTTGCGTGACCTCCGTGTTGCGCCGGACCATGGTGCCGGACCGCGGGTAGCTGACAGACGACCGGAGCGTGGCGTTGCGCGCGTGCCGGGCCGCCAGGAACGGCATGAACGTGATCATGAGGGTGCGCCGGTACTTGCGGCTCATGGCGCAGTACAGCATGAAGTTGGACGCGGCGTTCACCACCATCAGGAAGTTGAATATGGTGTGCAGGCCGCGGTTCACGTAGTACGCGGGCGTCTTCTCGGGCGGCTCGTACACGGACGCCGTCAGCATCATCACGGCCGTCGGCGTCTGGCACACGCAGAACATGATCACCACGGCGATCAGCGTCATGGTCATTTTGTTCTCCTGCCGTTGCCTGTTCCAAACCACGTTACCCTGCGAACAGCGCGCGCCGGCCGGCCGATAAATATAATATTATACCACGATGATGATAATAATAATGATAATAAAAAGTAAGCACAGTAACAGTGTTTTATTAAGATATTAATAATATTTTTAATACATTGCAACATTCGGGTAAGTACCCTAGGGCTGACGTTATTTCAAATTTTGATACCGCGGTATCCGGTATAATAAATCGTTTCCGAGGAATTTAATAAAAAACAGCTTATCGTTCTACAATCTGTTCTAGATCAGAGTTTCCTAACTTTTTTGCTTAACATATTATTAAATAGTTTCCAAAATATGACTAAGGACCACTTATGTCCGTACTCGGTTTAAATACTACACCAAAAATAGATTTTCTGATTTTATAATAAGACTGCAGGTGGGTGCCCAGCACTATAATGTGGATAGTCCAGTATAGCGTGGCGAACATAGGTCCCAAACTGGCAATTAACCTCGTCAAATTTTGAGGGGGGTATCCGTTTACCCGCGTTACCACTATATTTGTGGACCAACATTCCTGTTAACTGTAATAATGTATAATTTAATAATGAAAGATAATATGGATAACTATTAGGACGTACCAAAAGATGTTGACAAAATGTTGGCACTTAAGACTAATAATACTTATTTTTTTTTATTTTTTTTTT